TCAGGACTTTATATAACATGCCTGAGGACAGCCAAAGTTTCCTGGCCAAAAAGAGCATAGCATTGGTTTGACACCTTGTCTTCCAGATCGGACTTTGAAATCAGCCAAACTGAATGCAACAGTTCTGGTTTAGCAGTCTCTGAGGAAAAGTCAGCTTGGTCTCCAAGGGTCAAGCCTTCCTTATGTCAAAAGGAACGGTCTGTGGTAGAACCTATGGGCTTCAGGGCATTTCTCCCTTGAAAATGACTTTTTGCAAAAATTTTTGTCCAAGTCTTTGATTGGGGATGGAGCTGTTGGTTCCTCGCCATGTCCATCACAACTAGATGCTCAAACTGCTGGCATCTTGTGCTGGCCCCACAATGAACCTTCCCCACTTTCAGAGAGAAAGGGGCAGGGTTGGTGTTAATAAGCAAAAAAATCACTGTATGGTGTTTGGTTGTCAGGTGTTAATCTCCTCCAATCTATCCTTCTGAAGGGAAGGCTAACAACAGGGCCAGCTTGGGTGTGTGCAAGGCCATCCTCTCATGGATCACCCTCTCTGGCAGGCAAAATGCCACCAGCCCTCACTGAAGCCCAGACAGCAGCACTCACCCAAAGGCAGCTGTTGTCCCAGCTCAGGGTGCAGCTAGCAGCATAGAGCTGGATTCCTTGCCTGGAAGGCTTGGTAAGATTCCTGAAGGCACAATAGATAAACGAGAATGATCCTAAAGACGAGTACCACCTCATGGAAAACTCCTCAGGTATACATGGTAACAAACAAGAATTTAGAGAATCAAGCTGCAGGCTGTGCATGACAAATCACACTTAAAGCTCTTCACAGAATCATGGAATCATAGAATGTTAAGGGTTGGAAGTGACCTTCAGGATCATCTAATCCAAACATCCCCCTGCCATGGGCAGGGACACATCCCACTAGACTGGTTTGCTCAAGACCTTGTCCAGCCTGGCTTTGAACAGTGCCAGGGGGCATCCACAACCCCCCTGGGCAACCTGTTCCAGCATCTCACCACCTCCACAGTGAAGAATTTCTTCCTAATAACTGAGCTACACTTCTCGTCTTTCAGTTTGTATCTGATATTCTCTACGACTGAACAGCCACGACTTTCGCAGCCTGTCTGTGTACGGGAAGTTCTTCAGTCTCCTTGAAAACTTCACGGCCCTTTTCTGGACTTGCTCCAACAACTCCACGTCCTTCCTGTAGTGCATCCCAGAGCCGGATGCAGGGTTCCAGGTGGGGTCTCACCAGAGGGGAGCAAAGGGGCAGAATCCCCCCTCTCGCTCTGCTGCCCACGCTGCTTTGGATGAAGCCCAGATGCAGCTAGCTTTCTGGGCTGAGAGCGCAAGATGCTCTTCGAAATACCGAGATCAATAAATCGGTTTACACGTAGCCAGCGGACACAGCTCTCACCCTGCCCCTACGCTTTTCCGGGGAAAGAGGGCGGTTCCGCTCCCGTCACCGCGG